CTCTATCTGTTAGCCAGTTCTCAATCCACCCCACTGTCCATTCATCTAACCCACACTTCCTAAGCTTGCCTGTGAGGATGATGTGGGAGACAGTGTCGAAAGCCTTGTACTATTCTAGTATACTACTAGTATAAGGAGTGAAGAGGGCTGCTACGTGTATACTACTTGCAAACACATTTTCCTCTTGGGAAAGCTAAGGCCAAATAGTCAGTTTTGGGAGGTTACTTTCAAGGCACATGACAGCAGCTCCTACTGCGTGACATGGGTGGTTTTACATGGGCATCTCTTGTGGACGGAAGTCACAAGAATGATATGGAGTCCTCCAGAAAGAATACATACAAAATCAGGACAGGGAATGGTATATCAAGTGAAATCTTGTGAGGGGGCGAAACCAGTAAATAGTTACTTTTTTCCATAGCTTTATTGTTGTTCTCATACCTAACAGATGGCTTCTCAGTATCTGCTTCCCCACGATTATTTAAAGATAATATATTGTTAATATAAAAGCAGATGCAGACACCAGTGGGCATATAATGTGGTAAGGAATGGCATTACATTACAGGGCTGTGTGTGAAACTCATGGTTCCCTCATCGTGCCCATCAGATGGCAGCACAGCATGAGCAGAGAAAAACACCAGCGTTTTGTAGGCACATCGTCCTACGCAGTCTGTATTGTCAACAACAGCAAAGTACCTTAGTTAATAGCAGGCAATTATTGGTGCATTTCACTTAGTAGCTTTCTTTTATGGAGTAGTATTGTAGCTCTCAGAGTGCCCGTGGGAATATTCTGTACACAACTCAAATGATCAATCCCAGCACAGAGAAGTGAAAAACACTGAAGTAGGAACACGTGTAACAAGAGGCGTTTTTAGTACAATGACACAGAATTGCTTTAACCTTTTAATGTAGTGTCTTCTAGGTAGAATTTCTTACAGATATGTCTACATATAAATAGTGCATACCCATCCCTTGTCAGCATACGCATAGATGACATTTACTCACTGTTTACAGCTGCTGAAGCCCTCAAGATGTGCAATCCTGGTTTCCTTCACTGCGAGCAGAATAACATTGGCTGGTCTTAAACTCGGACCTTGGCCGGAAACTTGTGTGGAGTAACTGAGAGACCTGCAGATTTATCCAAGTCCCCGAGCATACCAGCCTTCCCAGCGGTAAGCTTGAGACGCAGGGATAATTAGCAGGAAATCTTTACTCAGATGCTTGAGTAAGTGTTGCAATTACTCTGCTAAAAGAACTTGTTACTCTGCATCCCTGATGGCTAGCACTAGTCTGCTGTCCCCTGAAATACTATCACAGGTTTTTGGCAGCCGGGACAACAATTCAACTTAATTGGTAACATGAAAGAAAAAAGGCCTGTGTTTTGACTGCAGAAAAAAGCAGTTCCATCCCCACCAGTGCTGAGCGTTTGGTCCTAGTAATCTTAACTTGCAAAAACATCCGCCCTTTGTAATAGCTGTCCAGCTGAGACTGTCTCCTGCGATCTGTAACAATATATTTCAAAACTTTTATAGCACTACCTGCCCCACTTCTCCAAGGACTTTTGCTACAGACACCAGATCACCTCGTATCACCTCCTTTCATGCTTCACCTGGTTTTTGGGTCACTTGTGATCTGAAGTGACCCGGATAAAGGGCTAAAGGGCTGGGAATCTCTGCCCTTAGGCACCTAATTGCCTTTGCAGTACTGAGGAGCCTGTGCTGAAGTGGTGAAAGCAGAGTCAGGCATCCACCCAAAGAAAGGAAAAAATCCCTTCCTCCTCCCAGCAGGAAAGGAGTGCGCAGAAGCTACCCAGGCTCTTGTTTTACCCTCCACTTGCACAGAGAATTCAGATGTGTTTCAGAATGCTCTGTTGGAAATTAATCCATCCTCTGCAGTATGCAGCTGGGACTGTGGGCTGTTCTGTATAGCTATTTCTATATGGTCTTTGTAGCTGGAACTGAGGGAGAGCATTGGCCCAAAACCATCAAGTATTTCACATCTCCCCCTCATCAGTTGTCCCACACAACCGCCAAGGCATTTTTTGTTTTTCTCCTCCATTTCCAAATGCCTGGAATACAGTGCTGTGTGGTAGCGCAGCAGCCTGATGTTGTTAAAACTCCAGGGCTAAGAGAAGGTGTGTGTGTGAATCAGGTGGTTGCATACTTTGGGACGTGGCATTGCACTGGATGCAGCACCAGATGGAGAAGGCTAAGTTTAGTGCCATGCTTATTCATACTGTCTGAAGCGGACACTACAGTGAAGACGTCTGCCAGCTGCATCTGGGATTTCTCTAGGAAAGTATTTGTTGGTTACTCCTGAAGGGGATGCTGTGTGCTTGGGCACAGACTAGCCAATACACATACGGGTAAGCAGGAGCCCAGGCTGCAAACCACCGTGCAGGGCAGCTCCCCAGCTGGCGCAGCTCAGCTTCGCTCCAGAGTCTGGGACAGAACCACCCTTGCCCTGATTTACTCACGTAAAGAGGGACTTCTCCACACTGGTCACAACTCAGATGGGAGGGCCTGATGTACTATAGCTATGTGTAGAGGAATAGTAGCAAGACATGTTGAAACAACTATCTCTAGCAGTGAAGGGGCTGAGGAGTCGCTACAGAACACTAAACCTGGAGAAAAAGAACAAACACTTGGTGCTAATGGAGAGGCGTAAAGAAACATCAAGCTCTTACCCGTACAAAGCTGGCTGGAAACCAGCCTTCACTGTCCAGAATCCTCCCCCACCACCACTCCTTGTTGGTAGCATCCATTACTTCAATGACATCGCCAGCCTTGAATCCCAGCTCTTGGTCATCCATCGTGACATGGTCCCAGAGGGCTTCTGCATACACCACGCTGCCATCACTGATGAGCTGTGGACAGAGCACGTCAAGCTGTCAGCTCCCCCCACAAAAGCAGCACAGTAGGCCAAAGTGGCTGCAGCTTTGGCACCATTGCTGCTGAGCCAAACAAGCAACTATTTACTCCCCCTGAGCAATGTGAAAAGGAGTTGGTGCTAGTCTAGCAGTTGCTTCGACTGACCTTGCTCTCAATAGCATTTAGTCAGAATTACTTGGACATAGTACATTTACTACCATAAAGAACATAAATTTGATGCTCTGGAATTTCTTACTGGTGACTGCCTCAGCCAGCAAACAAGGCTCAGTGGTACATTGTTGGTGGAGGATACTTTTGTGTTGCCAGTGCAGCCCAGCTTTGGTAAGCCTTGAAATAAAACCTTGAGCATCAATGTTTAGAGACATACTTCAGAGCAGAAAGCATTCTGAGGCCTCAGAGCTAGTCTAGGATGGGTAGAGCCTTAAGTCTTTAAGGTGGTTAAACTTAGCACTTAAGCTGCTTAAAATAAGTCTACTGGAGAGGTTAAGTAATTATGCTGAGGGACAACGGTTATTTACTACATGTCCCATAGAGGGCCTACTCTAGGAAAAAAAGGACCCCCAACAATTGGGAAAAAAAAAAAAAAAGAACAGAAAAAAAACCCCAACCTGCATGGCTAGAAGCTGTGAAGGGGCCCTTGAACGCAGTGGTGACTGTGTCTATATGTGCCTGATGCCATCCCCAGCTGTCCATGCACCTCAGCTACGGTGCAGTGGTGTATTTTTGCAAGTTGGTCCTGCCGGCCCCTACACCAGGAGAGCCTGCCTGATGCCCACAGGTTTATCATGTCAGAGTCTCCTCTGACTTTCAACAACTACAGAGTACACGCACAGGCTTCTTAGGGCCTGAGCATGACTGGGGCTGTCTGAACACCAAGGATTTCCCTCAGAAGGCAGAGTGTATATTGGAGTTCTGCTAAGAAGGACTTGCTTAAAAAGGACTTAAAAATTCTGGAGTTGCAGTGAAGCCCTATTTTTCTCCAGGAAAGTGATGCAATGATAAATTCTAGGAAGACAACGGCAAGAGCAGTCTGAGGCACAACGGAGAAAGAGAAAACCTGTACAAAACCCACTGTCCATGGTCTATCTCACAACATTGCAGCAGTGTCACCGCAGCCACGTAACGCACGTGTCTTCCGTGCTGGGCACCTTAGGTTGCTTGGTCACACAGTTAGTTACCTACTGCTCTGGGTTACTATTTTTGCACCTCACCAAAGAAGAAAGATGCATTTTGTAAGAGAACGTCAAGGTAATTGCGCATACAGTAAATCTGGAGAGAGTTAACGAGGCATTTGAAAGAAAATTCAAATACAGTCTGCCTTTGGATAGCAAATGGCCCTTCACTGAACCAGAAACGGCTTAATGCAGTGTTTCCATTTCCACAAAAATAACAGGATGATCGGGAAGGAGAGGATGAGGTGTTCCCACGTGTCTACATAGTCAGTGTGTTGGTGCTCCCCACACTGCTTTTCTCAGCTGCCGTCCACTGCACCACCCAGGGCTGGGTGCCTCCTCACTGCAGGTCTCTGCTCCTCACAGAGGTGAGCAGTCGCTGTGGTGGGGCCCAGTGAGTGGGGAACGTAAGGGACATGCTGCTGCCATACTGCCGGCCAGCGGCACAATGGGAAAATAATCCAAGAGTCTTAAACAGCGTCTCACTAGCCTAAGCTCCTATAGCAAGGACAGACTTTGATCACAAGGCAAGTAGGCATATGCTAATATGGGCACATATATATATATATAATGGCATATATAATGGGCATATGCTAATAGATCTTTGGGAAGAGTGGCATTCAGTGGGCTTTTCAACATACAAATTGTGACCAGCACATAGAGAGCATGGCTCTTTTGGAGATAAAATACCTCTGCTGTGTGCTTAAATATGCCACTGTGAATCAGTACTCTGAGTGTGATGTGGTAGCCGGCGCACAGACCATGACCATGACCGGAGAGAGACCAAAGGGACTTCCTCTGTAGCGTTTTGATGGTCACACAAGCAGAGCACCGATGATGTGAAGGCATTAATACCTTACAGCACCAAGCTGTCAGATCTCGGTATCTTGATGAGAAGATGGGAGACCAAGGCTGACCTAGCATTAACAGCATGTTAGGGTTGATAAACCCACCTCACAAGCAGACAGAGCCACATGGTTCTCGGAGTCACTGAAAGCCATGGGGCTGACTAGTGAGTCCTCAGCTAGTCCTATCCACTAATATTAAGATCTTAAATTTTCTCTATTCAACAACAGCCATACTGTGACTGTGATTTGCCAAATACAGAAAGTGACAACTGACCGATCACCAGCCAAACAGGCAGAGGCAGGCAGACAAGGCACGACCACAGACATTCTTGTGCAAAGGAGTAACTAAAAATACACCTGAAATACAGGCCAGGATTTGATTAACTGCCACCAAACACCATGTTTGTAAGGAGGAATGATCAATATGGAATCAAGCAAGAAATAAAGAATAAAAAAGATACTTTATCTATGCTTTGGATTGTCTCAGTTAGTTTAGTAGAGCAGCACTTGAAACACCTCCATGAGTGCAGGCTGACAGGCTCTGCCTGGTCTCCTCCCTCCACCGCTTCAGTCTGTGCTCGTGCACTGGGGGTGGGCAGGGGAGCAGACACAAACACTAAGAAGTGTTTAATGATCATCATGCTCAGTGCTTATTTTTCTATTAGCCCTGAAGCTGTACCTTATACTATTTTTTTTCAGTTGTATCCAGTCCAATTCCTAGGCTGATAAAGAAATATCAGATACCTCCAGTCTAACAGTCCCTTTCGCAGAGCAAATGCTAAAGGGTAACTCTGAGCCAGAACTGACATTTCCATGGCACAGAAGCACCTGCGGACTGCATGTCACTGCAGCGAGCAGAGCTCCTCTGTGAGAAGCATACTGTGACTGGGAAAAAAAGGGATAGGACTCTCACTGCCTGTCCCAGGAAGGATAAAACACACCAGTAGATAAAGATTTTCCGCAAAATGCGTTCAGCACGGCACAATCAGCCGGCTCTATTGTGCGAGCTGCTTATCTTCCATACAAGCATGTATTAAAGAGAATGCTCACCATTTCCAAGCATGGCAGCTCCTCAGCTCAAAAGGCTCACCTTACCACAGGTTTTGACCTTTGCAATTAAAGCAAGGTTTGAAAAACAACTGTTAATTTCCACATGAAACAACATTTATGTGGTGGCTTTGTAATATCAAGGACAACTCAGTACGTGTTCTTGAAGAGCCCAAACCCAGTCTCTAGATGAGAACCATTAGAAGACAGAAAACGCAAACCCAGCCACCCTACAGCTGCTCTAGCTACTGCAGCTGGCAGCAGTGAAAAAAAGTAAAAATTGGCTATTTTTCTTTGTTTATAACAACATTTACGTGTGTAGACAGCAGTGTTTGCAGCCCAAAGGCTTTACTACTAATGCTTTGAAACTGAAAATCGACCAGAGCTCTAATATTGCATTGGCATTTCTGTGCATCTGCAGCTGCTTCCCCTACCTCTCATTTACAAACACGGCAGACGCTGAGGGAAGGCGCCGGTAAAGCCGCGCTCGTGCAGGTTGCTCAGCCCATCACAGAGGGAGGGGGGGGGGATTGCTGCATTACTCCTCCCAGCAGAGCGTGTGCACAGGCTGCCAAAGAGGAGGCACATCCAGGGCTATTACACATAACTCCCCCAAATTAAGTCCCTTACACATGGGCAAACAGACCCACGTCTATCAGCCTGTTTGCATTCCAGCTACTCGGTCCCTGTTTGTCTCAGGCTGGACACTTCGACATAATTACCTTGTATGTCCTGGTCTTGTTCTGACAGGAGCTCCAGGCAATATTAACAGAGATAAAAGATCACGACAACTTACAGAAGGAGGGATGAAGATGCCTTTAGGAAATATTTATCTTTGAGCTACTCAGTTCTGTTTGAATAAAATTTGAATAGCTTTCTCTTGATAATGTGAAGTACACTAGATCATAAAGAGCTAAAAAATGAACCCAGGAGCATCAGAAGATACTGGGAACAGGGTAGTCCAGGGAAAAGGTGCCAATAAAATGGAATTTACTTTACAGCTCTGTGACCCTAAACCAGACACCTTGCATGAAGAGCACCTGAACCCAAGCCCTTCCTGGTGAACGAAAATGGTTGCTGTGAAGTCTGCATTTGTTGTTCAGCTCCCCCAGAACTTGCACGATACAGACCAAAGCTGAACTGGGTCAGCACATCAAATGTTTAAACCCTGTGGCAGTCCTGACCCCAGAGACAAAGCCCGTCACCCCCAGCTCCAGTTCCTTCACCCGTTGCTTTGCTTCCAGAGCTTCTCTTCTGCCTTCTCTCACGCAGAGTGCAGTAGAGGTAGTTAAAGAAAATTTTACTTCCACTCTTGCCCCAAAGTAGTGCTTCATTCACACAAATACTTATTTTTTCTGAATGTGGGTAGAAGCCAGCTAGCCCCTCTCTTGAACTGAACCCATGGGATAGTTTTCAGATCATCCTAACAGCTTGCTCTTGCTTCCTCTCTAAACTTTTCCTTTGCTGTTTAATGATGGACAACAGAGATGAAATTTATCTCATAGAGCTTCTGTCATCTGAACAGCGGGCCTTAAGTCTGAACGAGTTATCTTGATTGTCTTTAGGGAGCATCTCCCCTTTGTGGAGAGAGACAGGCACCCCAGGGGAGGGTTCATCTCAGGCATCTATCTTAGCATGATGAATTAACCAAGCCCCTGGGGGTCCTGTCTCCCTTCACTGCCAGGGAGGAATTTGGGCTCGCTAAGACTTGCTGCCTGGCCGCAGGGTGCCAGAACCACTGACACAACTCCACAGCCACAGCAAACACTTCACTGCTTCTTGCCACTCCTCTGTCTACGTGTTTCAGAGTAACACAAACCCTCCTTGCCGCAGCGTTACACCAGACACGTGTCCCCACACAGGCAGTGGGATGCATTCATTGCTTCAGAAGCGCAGACCTCCATGCCGTGCCCCCAGTCAAGCCATGCCCTCGGCAT